TCCTGGGCTCAAGTGATCCTTCTGCCTCAGCCTCTGAGAAGCTGGGGCTACTGGGAAATCCTTTTTTCTTATTACAAAACAGAAAGCACAGATATTACCTTTGTTATCTGACAACAACAGCATTATCATAGGGTTTACTCAGAAAAAAGTCAAGTCCAGGCACTGTGGTTCACATTTGTAATCCTAGCACTATGAGAGGCTGAGTTAGAAGGATCCCTTAAGCTCAGGAGTTCAAAACCAGCATGAGTAGACTGAGATCCAGCCTCTACTAAAAATAGAAACATTAGCCAGGCATGGTGGTGGGCACCTATATGGTCCTAGCTATGCAGGAGGCTGAGGCAGGAGGATCGCTTGAGCCCAGGAGTTCAAGGTTGCTATGAGCTAGATTGATGCCATGGCACAGTAGCATGGGCAACAGAGACACTGTCCTAAAAAATAAATCAATCAATAAACAGAAAAGAAAGAAGCAAAAACTGAAAGACTGCATTGGAACGCTTGCTTATAACTTCTCTAACAGGCACTCATCTGTCTGAAGCTTCCTGTCAGCGAGGCTCCTACCTGGTCGAGCAGCCCCATGAGTAGCACAGGCAGGCTGGAGTAGAGCACGTTGTAGAGGGTGATGAACCAGTCCTCGTACGCGGTCTGTGAGGAGATGACGAGGCTCAGGTTACTGATAAGGACATAGGCCGGGCCGCCTGACACACGCTCACCTGCTTTCTCAGAGCAAGGATGCCCCAGCTGAGCGAGGGCTCCTGCCGAAATGCACACCCTTCATCCACACCTCTGGGAAACATGAGTTTTTGTTTCTATGGAACGGGAGAATCCAGACCTGTGCACGGACACCAGTCTCCCAACCTGACCCAGGATAAGTACGAAGGAATATTCCAGTTTTTGGTCAAATAGCCAATTCTACTTGGATAATGCTGGAAAACAAGTCAGTGCTGCTCCCCCTTTGTACACCACTTTATTAATGTTTGAAAACACATAAAACAATAACATTGTTTCAAAAACATCTAATGCCAGTCATTTTTTTTTAACTTTTATTTTGTAAGGCCAGCCATTTCCATGAAAATATTTTGTAAAACAGAATTTGACTATCAAAAATAGGCTTCTGAAAGCAGAAACGACACCATGCACTCATCCTTCCTTAGGGCGGGATGGAGGAAATGGGCTTCCTCAGGACCAAGAGTTAGTTACACAAGGTCCTGCCAGAAACAGGAAGGTGGCTGGGACCCTGCTGGAAGTCTCCTCTGGCCCTAATTCCTAAGACACCATTTATCTCTGGCATCACATCCAGTAAGTTTCGACGACCACAGGCACTGAGTTAGGTCGCATTTTATTTATGACATCTTTCTGTTGGGTCACCATTTTAGCCTATTAGATATGTCCCTTCCTCTCATTTCAGCAAAAACTAAAAACAAAGTAACAAATGGACACATGATAACAGAATGGAACCATCCACAATTTATATAATCCCTTTAGCTCGGTCACAATATCATTTTATGCTTTCTCAGTTAAACGATTTTTTAACACTATTCTTAATGGCAATGACATCAAAAGATCTAAAATGAAGACCTCAATGTAACCAAATGCCCCTCCATCCCCTTTCTAAGGTAACATAAAATGTTTTAAAGCCCCAGAAACATTTTATAAAAGTCATGATCTTCCTTAACTCCGTCCTGACTTTAAGGAGATACAGTACCAAAACTATAAATATAGAAGAAACAAGGTTTCTTTTTCTTTTCTTTTTTTTTTCTGTTTGTTTAGCAGGCCTGGGCCAGGTTTGAACCTGCCACCCTGGGTGCCTGGGGCCAGTGCTGTAATCATTGAGCTACAGATACCCAGCCAAGGTATCTTTTCAGAACTAGATAGTTTTATTCATCTAAGAGCTCTACCCAATAAAAAATAAGTAATGCTCTCTTACCTGTGCAGAGTAGCCGTTGAAGAAGGAGTACCAGAAATGAACTAAAGTGAATGCAAAGTTTTTGTAGAAGAAGTAGCGTAGGAATTTGCACATCCTAATGTAAGACCAGCGGCCATGCACCAGCAGGAGCCTCTGCAGATACCTGAACTGAGCAAAGGAGTAGTCGCTGGACATGACAGCTTGCATTCCTTCTTGTCCACTTATTCCAACACCAATGTGCGCAGCTGTGGGGCAGAGAAGATGCACACTCTGTGGATCATAAGCCAATTGCAAGGCAAAACACCAGATGATAAAAATGCTTTTACGGCAAAATAAAAAACAAGGGCAGACATTCATGGAACCGTAAACACAAAAGCTCTTGCTCACCATCTCTACCCCCAGCTCCTGAACTCAATTCCAAGTCGGAGTTGCTAAACATGGTGCCCAGCACATGGTGTGGCTTCCATAAATATTTGTGTAAGGATCTCATGGAGGTGGCGAATTCCATTTGGATTATCTGCCCTGCTCATAAGCCATCCTTTCCACCCCACGGGGTGAGCCCCAGGCACCCAGGTGTACTCTGTGAACCTGCCTCCCCAGCCACAGGCAAATAGGTAATGTGGGGTAGTACTCCCAGCTGGCTCCTTGGAGCTTCATCCCACCCTTGTTCTAATCAGAGAGGTGGGAAAGTAAATAAAAACTCTACACTTGCCAGACTCCTCCTGCAGCTAGGATCTCTTTGTGAATTAGGTTCCACTGTTTAGATTCCCTTGTAACTTAGGAGCAGAAGTGAACCAGAGCCCAGCATCCTTTCTTTTTTGGCATTTCTGCAACTGAGTCCATACCCGGCTGCTCAGATGTTGATAGGAATCTGCAAACACTTCTCCATGGCAAAGCTCTTCAGAGGGATCTCAAAGGTAGAAGCCCTTCAGGTAAGTGATCCAGAGATTAGGGAATCAGCTTAGACCCTGCTTCTTTAGTCCATCTGGAGATTTTCAGAGTGCCTAGCTCCCTGTATCTTTTTTTTTTTTTTTAAGACAGAGTCTCCCTCTATTGCCCAGGCTAGAGTGCTATGGCATCAGCCTAGCTGATAGCAACCTCAAACTCCTGGGTTCAAGTGATCCTCCTGCCTCAGCCTCCTGAGTAGCTGGGACCATAGGCATGCCCCACAGCACTCAGCTAATTTTTCTATTTTTGGTAGTAGAGACAGGGTCTTAGGCTGCTCAGGCTGGTCTCCAACTCCTGTGCTCAAAGGATCCTCCCACCTCGGCCACCTAGAGGGCTAAGATTACAGGTATGAGCCAGCACACCAGGCACAGTCCTCTGTAATAATCAACTCCCCTTTAAAGTACCTCCGGGGGTCTGTTTCCTATATTAAACCCTGACAGAAGACCCAGTCTGGTCTAGTCTTTTTCTTGATATTCTAGAGTTAGGATCACGTGTGCTCATGGTCCAGAATTTTTTTTTTTTTGAGGCAGGGTCTCACTTTGTTGCCCTTGGTAGAGTGCTGTATTGTCATAGCTCACAGCAACCTCCAACTCTTGGGCTCATGCGATTCTTTTGCCTCAGCCTCCCTAGTAGCTGGGACTACAGGCGCTTGCTATAACGCCTGGCTATTTTTAGAGATGAGGGTCTCGCCCTGGCTTAGGCTGGTCTCGAACCTGTGAGCTCAGGCAATGTACCCGCCTCGGCCTTTCAGAGTGCTAGGATTACAGGCATGAGCCACCTCACCCGGCCATCATGTCTAGAATTTAAATGTGTATATTCTTGAGGTGTGGCATGGATATATTTCTTTTTTTTTGTTTTGCAGTTTTTGGCTGGGGCTGGGTTTGAACCCGCCACCTCTGGCATATGGGCTAGGGCCCTACCCCTTTGAGCCACAGGTACTGCCCATGGATATGTTTCTTTCTGAAGAATTCTGAGGGGCAGAAAAATAAGGCAGTTAAGAGAAGAAAGAAACAGAGACAACTCTGGGCCCTGGTTCCAGCATGTTCCTGAGGCCTGGCTTCTTGGTCAGCAGGAAGTATCTTTGGTTCTTTTTAAATGAATTGTTTTCTTAATCTAGCTTTGGTTGTTCTCCAATACTTGTAATTGAAAGAGTTTTAACTAAGATACAGTTAAACTTTCAAAAGCGTATTCATGGCCCTCCATGACCTTAAGACAGAATTTTTTCCAGGAAGGAAGGTTCCCAGAATGGGTAAAAACTAAACCCACAATTTTATCCATCCCTCTAATAGTCAATAAATAACATTTTCTAATTAGAGAATTATAAATTTTTTTTATCTAGGTCTTTAAAGTCATGAACAGATAATGAAATCTTTTATGAAAACTGCATTGGAGGACATAACCCATTATTACTCAGAGGCCGAGAGGTGACTGCCAACTCAGCAGAGTTTCCAATGAAAAAGAAGCTTCAAAAATCCTATTCTAGTTATAGAACGCAAGGTCTGGCAAATTCAAAACATAACTGTTGTGACTTGTCCAAACCTAAGTTTTCAATAACATTTTGCAGTTCTAAAAAAAAATAAAACAAATTGCATCTCGCTTAATATTTACAATGTTTTTTAAAATACGCAAATAGTTCTTATGACCAGTTATGGTTGCCAAACTGCTCTTTCCTACCAAACCATGGCCTATTTTTCTTTCCTGAATAAGCCACAGAGGGAAATATTGAGATTCTGTCTTGGCTTCTGGGGCTAAGGAAGAAGAACTCCCACCTTGGGCCCTGGGAGCCAGACCTTCTACCATTCTGCTGAGCAGATGGAGGACAATATGTAAAATGAACATTGTCCTGGTTCCTGGGGCGTTTGAAGGTAATTAAACAGATGTACTATAAAACGACATTGGATTTTTTTTTCTAAAATCTAATTTATATGTACCTAGATTTTCCTGAAGTTCAAATACAATGTCAAATCCCTCGTTGACTGGTACTCCTTCATACACCTCACTGGCTACCATACTGCCCCTGTTCTAAGCGTATAATTCCTTAACAAAAGGATTATTTCCTCGATATAGCCTTTGCCTTTGTCTCATCTCTCTCATGCTTCATGTATATTCTCAGGGTCTAAGACCAAGAAGAGGTAACCGGGTGGTGCCTGTGGCTCAGTGGATAGGGCACCGGCCCTATATACCGAGGGTGGCGGGTTCAAACTCAGGCTGGGCCAAACTGCAAACAAATAGCCGGGCACTGTGGCGGGCGCCTGTAGTCCCAGCTACTCGGGAGGCTGAGGCAAGAGAATTGCCTAAGCCCAGGGGTTGGAGGTTGCTGTGAGCAATGTGATGCCATGGCACTCTACCGAGGGTGATAAAATGAGACTCTGTCTCTACAAAAAAAGAAGAGGTAACACCCACCCTATGAGAGAGGGACAGCCTGTGACAGTCTCTGGATCCTTCCTGGGACAAAAACCTGGCCAGTCACAATTCCCTCACTTCCACTAGACTACACTCCTAAGCTTGAAACACAGTAGCAAGTGGTCAGGTGGTTTTTGACTGAATTTCACTCAACTACTTGATGGCCAACAAATAAAACTTCTCTCTGTACGTTGCGCTTGGTGCAGTGAAAAGAGATGGCAGCGTTGACAAAGTACAAAAAGGCACGAGTGCTGCTTAGGTAACGTCCAAGGAGACTTCAGGGTTCCCTTGATTTTCATCCCAAATGGATGCTCCTCAAGTTATATACAAAAGCACCTGACATATAACAGAGCTTAACAAAAATTAAAGTGATTAAAGAACGGCCAAGTCTCTGTAAGGGTATCTAATTTGACATTGCACAATCCCTCTCGCTTATCAAGTGGTGAGCTCAGAGGAACAAACAGTGTCCAGTTTAAGTCACATAATCAAATGGCAAATCTGCAAAGCAAACCACCTCCCCCAACCTCCAGAAGTCCACATTATAAGTGAACGAAAGTAATGTTTGAGTTACTTGCCCTTTGGGGACGGCCAGTTCTGTTAAGGGTACACAGTGGAAAATAAGCTAGAGCTGGCTGCAGAAGAAAGAGAGATCTGATTCAGAGCAAGAAGTGCCATTCGTAGGAGAGGACAGGTACATGCAAGAGCAGTGGGGAGGAATTAAACTGGCTGTGGTGACAGACATACGCACTGATAAGAAGAAGGCAGGACGACATACGTCATACAGCTGACTCCTGTTGAGGAAGATAAAGTTGGAATGTTCTTAGGCTATGTCAAGGAGGAGGAGGAGGAGACTCTAAGAAAAGAGAGAGATGAGCTCGTGAGTCACCCAATAGGCTGAATGAAAAGTCTAGTAGTTGTCTATAACGCATTCAAGTTCCCAGCACTACAGGACACACATGTATCGTCATATAATATGTAACGTTATTCATCTTAACAATAATAATATCACAAAGCTGGAGGGGAGATTCAACATAATTTTCTTATTTTTTGATGAGAAATCTGAGGCCTAAGCCCAAGGTGACACAGGATGTTGGCAATGGGATAAGGACAAATATTCCTGTCTCGTTGTTCTGGGTATTTTCATTACAAGATATGACTTTCTAGTAATAGAGGGAGAAAAAAGGATCAGGACTCAGACACAGAGATGAGAGCCCCAGGTTTGGTTCTGCAAGCTTCAATACCAGCACAACTGTATTCTGCATGATGGGGCTGAATCCTTTAATCATGGAGACTTAGGGTCCTCCAACCGGGAAAAGCTTGCTGGCAGCCTTCTAGAGTGGTGGGGAGGATGGATGAGGAGAGGTGGAAACTTTACTTCAATGCTACACGTTACTGTAAATCTCACACCAGGTGACTCGACGGTGGAGTTCTAGCAGATTTACCAAAGGCAAGAGGGAAGCCCCAGAAAGAGATGCTTACGTGAGATACAAGGATATTTACAAAGCAGTATCAGAGAAAGTGCAACAATTTACGCTGAGTTCGGTAGAAGGTTTTGCAAAACGTATTAAGTATCAGGGTTACTAATAAGCCCTAAAGAAATATGGGAGGAGATGTAGCCAAAGGGGGGTGGGGGGGACTTATCAGATGTATGGAAAAGGAGGAAGTGAATAAGGATAAACTCATGTGCTTCATCTTCTGCTTGGCCTCCTCTCAGTACCACTGTGAGGCCTACCCCTTCTAAATCCCAGCGTACTGGGGGCTTCCTGGGGATGGGGTCACAGGCAGAATCATCATGGTTAAGGGCTTTTGTGAAATATCTGCCTTAAGAAAATCTGAGAAATCTGGGGGGGGGAACCACCCTGCAAACATGTTCCTGCCACTTCCCCTCTCTAACAAGTCGGGTCTCATTGGCCATCTGCACACCACTCACTTTTGATCATGTTCACGTCGTTGGCACCATCTCCAATGGCCAGCGTGATGGCCTTCTTGTATCTCTTTACCAGGTCCACCACCATGGCCTTCTGCTTGGGGGTGACGCGGCAGCAGATGACGGCGCTGCACTCGCAAGCCAGGTCCACAAAGTTCTTCTGCCGCTGCTCTTTCTTAACTTCCAGCCGCCTTTTACTCTGGGTCCGCATTCGTCTTTCCTCTTCTGTCCTGGGGAACTTCAGCTTCAGAATCTTACTTCTCTTGGTCTTTTTCTCTAGAAGAATTTCATTCTGGGAAGTGACAGAGGGAAAGGTTTATGATCATTTTTAGTTTTAACACCAACAACATCCTGACCAATATTTAAATTGTGTGAAAGATAATTTGGGGGCTATATCATAGATTTTATATACATATATATGTGTGTGTGTGTGTGTGTGTGTTTATGATAGATACACTGATTTTTTATTTTTTTTTGAGAGAGAGTCTTACTACATCACCTTCAGTAGAGTGCAGTTGCGTCATAGCTCACAGCAACCTCTAACTCTTGGGCTTAAGCGATTCTCTTGCCTCAGCCTCCCAAGGAGCTGGGACTATAGGCACCCGCCACAACATCTGGCTATTTTTAGAGACGGGGTCTTGCTCTTGCTCAGGCTGATCTCAAACTTGTGAGCTCAGGCAATCCACCCACCTCGGCCTCCCAAACTGCTGGGATTACAGTCATGAGCCACTGCACCCAGCCTTAAGATAAACTGATTTTATAATCAAAACATATGTTCTGATTATAAAACATATTTATGACAAAATTTAGGAAATGCAAAAATCTGTAAAGAAGAAAATGAAAATCATTCAACCAGAATAACTATTTTTACCAATTTGGTATAATTCCTTTAATGTCATACTAAGTGTCAAACTTGGAAAATCATACTTTAATTTATAGGCTAAGAGATTCTGAGGTTGACTGTTAATATAAAAAACCACCTAAAACTGGTCCAAAAGGAACTTCTTTTGTTTGACACGGCCAGGCGTGGTGGCTCAAGCCTATAATTCCAGCACTCTGGGAGGCTAAGGCAGGCAGATTGCCCGAGTTCTTGGGTTTGAGACCAGCCTGAGCTAGACTGAGACCCTGTCTCTGAAAAAAGAAAAAATTAGCTGGGCATCATGGCAGGTACCTGTAATCCCAGCTACTTGGGGGGTTGAGGCAAGCAAATCACTTGAGCCCAGGATTTTGAGGTTGCTGTGAGCTATGACACCACAGCACTCTACCGGGGGTGACAAAGTGAGTCTCTGTCTCAAAAAAAAAAAAAGAAAAGAAAGAAAGAAAGTACAGAGATGCTAAAGTTACCTACCAACCAAGAACCAGTGATGATTAAGGCACGGTTTCCACCGGTAGGGAAAAAAGGTTCATGCACAGGGGGTGCAAATTTTGCATAGACTCCACCTCTATTCCTCTGGTTTTCCATTCTTGTATGAATAAGAGAACTGGAAGAAAATAAATTTAAGTGTTTAAAGTATAAGATATAAACAAACCCGTGACAATGAAATAATTCTGGCATTTTTAAAAACTATAGCAAAAGGGCAGTGCCTGTGGCTCAAAGGAGTAGGGTACCGGCCCCATACATGGGAGGTGGTGGGTTCAAACGTAGGCCAGGCCAAAATCTGCAAAAACAAAAACAAAAACAAAAACTGTAGCAAAAAAAAAGAAATTTTTTTTTGAAACAGGGTCTTGCTTTGTTGCCTGGTATAGAGGGTAGTGATGTCACCACAGCTCACAGCAACCTCAATCCCCTGGCCTCAAGCGATCCTTCCACCTGAGCCTCCCCAAATTCAGGGATTATAGGTGTGGGCCACCACACAGGGCCCAGTAACATCTAACACAATTTATCATCCTAATCATTTTTAAGTGCCTAGTTTAGTAACGTTAAGTATGTTTACAATGTCGTGCAGTCAATCTCCAGAACGTTTTCATCTTGCAAAACTGAAACTCTATATTCTATGAACAACTCAACCCTTCTCTCCCCTCCCCTGGTCTGTGGTAACCTCCATTCTATCTTCTGTGTCTATGAACTTGACCACTGTAGCTACCTCAACCTATGTGGAATCATACAATAATGTCTTTTTGTGACTGGCTTACTTCACTTAATGACGTTCTCAAGGTTCATCTACCATTACAGCATATGCCACAGTTTCCTTCCTTTTTAAGGTCAAATAGTATCCCATTGCATGAGTACACTGCATTTTGTTTATCCATTTATCCATCAGTGGACACTTGTGTTCCTCCCACCTCTTAGCTACTGTGAGTAGTGCTGCTATGAATAGGGGTGTGTATGTATTTCCAGATGCTGCTTCCAATTATTTTGAGTATATACCCCAAAGTAGGATTGTTGAATCATCCATTAATTCTATTTTTTGAGGAACCACCCTACTGTTTTTCATAAATGGCTACACCATTTTACATTCCAAACAACCGTGCACAAAACTGCCAGATTTTCCACAGCTTCACCAACACTTGCTAGTTTCTATTTTTTTTTTTTAAGAGACAGAGTCTCACTTTATTGCCCTCGGTAGAGTGCTGTGGCATCACAGCTCACAGCAACCTCCAACTCCTAGGCTTAGGTGATCCTCTTACCTCAGCCTCCCAAGTAGCTGGGACTATAAATGCCCACCACAACACCTGGCTATTTCTGTTGCAGTTTGGCCGGGGCTGGGTTTGAACCCGCCACCCTCGGTATATGGTGGGGCCGGCGCCCTACTCACTGAGCCACAGTAGCCATCCTAACAGGTGTGCGGTGATACCTCATTGTGGTTTTGATTTCTATTTCCCTAAGGATAAGTGATGTTGAGCATCATTTCATATGCTTATCAACCATCTGTATATCCTCACTGGATAAATGTCTACTTAGAGTACTTTCTCTTTTTTTTTTTTTTGCAGTTTTTTTTGGCTGGGGCTGGGTTTGAACCTACCGCCTCCAGCATATGGTGCCAGCACCCTACTCCTTTGAGCCACAGGTGCCGCCCTGTCTTTTTTTTAATTTGATGACATACAATTTTACTAAGTCCTGATTCTTCCACCATGAGACACCATGCTCTCGGTACTGGGTTATTTTTCAAAGACAGCCAAAGGAAAAAGATACGGTTGAAAATGTGTCCACAAGCAACAGAAAGAAGGCAACCTTGATGTGAATCATGATGCACTAATGGGACCCCTACTTTTCTGGCCATTGTAAAGGATATTAAATATCTTTTTTTTTCCCCGCCTTTGGAGATAGAATCATGCTCTGTCACTCCGGAGAGTGCAGTGGTATCATCATAGCTTACAGCAACCTTAAACTCCTATCTCCTACTTCAGCTTCCCCAATAGCTGGACTACAGATAAGACAGTCACAATCAGCCAGACATAGGCAGGAGCTGAATCACCCAATAGCTGTAGCTAATTGTTCTATTTTTTTTGGAGAGATGGGGTTTTCGCTCTTCCTCAGGCTGATGACCTTAAATATCTTGTCTAACCTCTGTGTTACAAAGAAGGAAATGAAGACAGAGAGAGGTGATATGATTTGCCTGCAGCAAGCTGACAGCAAAACTGGAACGAGGACTGACTTCTCCTACTGCACACACAGAGCCATTGTTCTTCACCTTCACAAGGAGGCGTCTCAACCTTGGCAATCTTAGACCATATAATTCTTTGTTGTATGTGCCATCCATTGCATCACAGGGCGTCTAGCACCATCCCTGACCTCCACCCACCAGAAGCCAGTAGCATTCCTGCTCCCCACGTATAGCCACCAAACACATGTCCAGACATTGTTCTACGTTTCCTGGAGGGCAAAAATTGCTCCCCAAGAGAGAACCACTGCGTTATCTTGTCTTCAAATTAGCTTAATTCTAGTTCTCATTTTCAAGTTAGAAGACAAATCATTAAAAGGTCAAAGGAGATAAAAATATAAAGCTATCTATTTAAGTGATTTTATAAGAATCATCGCTTCAGGAACCATCTAGAAAGATGAATCATTTCTCTATAAAGGTAAACTTGGCTAAGAGCATGATCATAAAATTTACTACTTGGACACATTTTCTCTTAGCTTAGGGCACAGCTTTCAAAAGCAACACCAGAAATTTATTAAGGCCCCACCTATAAGCAATAAATAAAATCATATGGAAATGAACCAAGTTATAGGAAACCAAAAATTACTTAAGCAAACATTATGCATATTTATCTATTGCTACTTTTTCATAAGGTAAAAGCACCAAAAGGGGTCTGGTGTCTGTGCCTCTATAAAAACATAACTGATTTAGATTGTAAGGCTACTGATTGTGTCTGATTTAGCAGAGCACATAATATCAGAGAACATAATACAGCAGGTTAACGGGAATGACTCGGGAAAGCTCTATCATCACCATTACAAAGAAAACTAACCGCCATTGACTCCCTCATCATCTTTGCAGCTCCTGCAAGTGTGTTAATTACCAGCTTAATCTGACCTCATGACAGCCCGAGAAAGGTGTAGGGAAAAAACATCAGGAATAAATGGAACTGTGATGCCATCAGTTAAGCACATCACGGTAACCGCGTGCAGCACCATTACAGCTTCGTACTAAGACAGAGCTTATTCATTACACACTTCTAGGTCTGCTGCAACTTTGATTCAAAGCTAACAAATGTTTCAGCATCAACTCAGGTTTGAAGGGTCATGTTTGCCCCCTCTAAGACTAGACCACAGATGACCTACATGATGTAACGCGCCCAAACAGTTCTTTCTGGGCTAAAGTAGTTGTTGTTGTTTTTGATTTCTTTCAAAAGTGAAATTTCCTAGAACAGGCACAACATGAATACAATTCTTATTAATTTGCTAGTGGTATCACAGGCTCCTTTTCTTTTTCAGTAGGTGAGGATAGAAGATTTCTAAGGAATAGAGAAAAGTGGCCTCTGAAAAGCCCCAAGTTGCTTTAAAATTAAATCTGTCTAAAATAAGGCCCAAACGGCTCGGCGCCTGTGGCTCAAGCGGCTAAGGTGCCAGCCACATACACCTAAGGTGGCGGGTTCGAATCCCCAGCCCGGGCCCACCAAACAACGATGGCTGTAACCAAAAAATGGCCGGGCTTTGTGGCAGGCGCCTGTGGTCCCAGCTACTTGGGAGGCGGAGGCAGGAGACTCGCTTGAGCCCAGGAGTTGGAGGTTACTGTGAGCTGTGATGCCATAGCACTCTACCCAGAGGGATAGCTTGAGGCTCCATCTCAAAAAAAAAAAAAAAAAAAAAAATAAGGCCCAAACGTGACCAGCTGGAACTGCCTATTGTTCCTTGGCTTCCTTTGAACGTGAGGCCACTGTCCCAGGCACAGTGTGGCTTCCATTTCTCTGTGCTCGTTGCCTGCTCCGTCTGGGCCTGCCTTTGTGTCCCGAGCTGTCACACTGGCTCACTCTGCAGGCTCTCCACTTACTTTATATCCTCCCCGTAGCAGATGGTGGTGTCTTCAGTCAGAAGTTCACAGGCAAATCCTATATTTTCGGCAGTTTCTACAACAGAATAAAATGAAGTAGAACCTTGTTCATTCATACTGTTGAACTGAATAACTGACTGTATCCAGTAATGATGATTTTTTTTTTTCAATTCGTGAACCTAACCAGATTCAATCAAATGTGTAGCATACTGTTTCTGTATAGCCATGTACAGAAATCACATACAGGAAAAAGCAATCCCTTTCTCTATAATAAGTGAACATCAAGGTCTAGTTTGAGATGTTTTCAATAATAAAATGTGCTATATTATCAAATAGTATATACACTGGTTATTTACTAAATCTATGTCCATTAAAGACTAAATACACTTAATTTGTGTGGTTTAACCACTCTGTTACAGGGAGGGAAGGATAACCATTTCTATCAGCCCTGGCATGAAGACAATTTTTCTCTTTTTTTATTCCCTCCCACCTGTTATTTATTTAAGGTTGAGATCCCTGAACTTCACAGAGTGTATAACCCATTGATGATTTCAGATCAGGAGACATTATCCTATCTCTTGCAGAGTAAACTATCAATGCCAAATAACTACCCGTGAAGCTCTAAATTTAGAAATTAAAATCTTTTCTTAGGTATTAAATTTTAACTATAATTTTCAGGTAAGGAAAAGGACAAGAAAACAAAAGTTGCTTTTCAGCACTTTGTATTGTTTTTCTATAATTGTGCTCAACAAATGGCAAAACACTGGGAGGGCAGAGGGATGAGGGGGGCGGCCCCTTCAGGACAGAGGGACGAGAAGGGTGGCCCCTGCAGGACAGAGGCCCACATCTGGCTGGAGAGATAAGACAGTCACAATCAGCAAGACACAGGCAGAAGCTAAATCATGAGGAAGAAACTGCTACCGAGGGGGTTTCAGGAAGGATGTGGCCTGGGTGGGGATGGGAGCTGGGAAAACAAAGACTCGCTTCTCAGAGAAAGCCTCTTCCTTCCAAAGAAATAGTGTTGATATAGGAAGGAAAAGTTGGAGAAGGTCATCGCGAGCTAAAGAAACAGCAGCCATAAATATTTGTGAATTTAACAGATACGTTTCCCTATGCAAAGAATTACCTTTTTTGTCTCCAGTAAGCACCCAGATCTTAATGTCAGCTTTTGCAAGTTTTGAAATGGTTTCTGGGACTCCATCTTGTAGCTTGTCTTCAATAGCTGTAGCTCCTAATAGCTGGAAGGTACATTTAAAAAAAAAAAAAAAGGAATCAGTAAATAAACCAAAAATTTTCTATAATTATAGCTTGCCAACCTGTAAAAAGAAGAGTTAATTACACACCCCAGGTGGTGCTCCACTGGGGTGTGTCAAGGCCACAGCCAGTGTTGACCGGGAAGGCTGCCATGTTTCTCATTTACCACAAACTAACACAGCTAACAAGTTTTGCCTTTTCTTCTTTTTTAAAATTTCAGCATAACACGAGGGTACAATTAGGTTACATTGTTTGCGCTGGTTTAGGTAGAACCCAAGTTGTAGTTGTGTCTGTTACCAAAATTTCTATTCTGCTACCAAAGTTCTATTCTGCTAGTCTGCCAAAAAGAAAAAAAAGAAATTTAATTGACCTACTTCCATTGTACCAGTGTCAAATGCTGAAGTTAGAATTAGCTTTTGAGCATGAGATCAAAAATGTAACAGAGTTTAATAACATTTTTAATTCTGTTTGAATATCAAGGAAGAATTATTAAGGCGAAAACTCACAATTAAGTCTTTTTCAATCTCCTCGTATACTTTATCCAGGGCTTCGTCCCGGTTGTTTGAGGCCACACTGGCAGCCATAAACTTCTTGTTCCATTCGGCAAATTCCCTTTCTTCAATTTCCTTGTAGCAAAGGCACAGGGTTCTAAGAGTTTCACTTGCAAAGATCTGTTTTATTGAAAAGGCAAACCACCGATGCAAAGAATAGTTAATTTTATGTAATTTAAGATCAAGTTTGAAATCTTCCTTTGAAGTAATATACCAGGAGTGTTTAAAAAGAGTAAGATGACAGATTCTGAACAAATATACTCTACAGAGGAGATTAAACTCTATAATAGACTTTGTTTTTCTAAGTTTCTACGCAGTCCTAGGCCTGTACTTCCAGTTCCCAAATTAGTTAAAGGGAAAAGTCTACCTGTCTCCTAAATGAAGTCACCAGAGCAAAGAAAACCTTTTTCTCTTAATGGCTAGGAAAATAAGAAAGGAAGGAAGCTGCCTTGGGGTGTGATGATGTAAACACAGACCTGACAACTTTATAATTTTTTCCAATAAACTGTGACACAAGCCTAATCAGCTATGAACTCTGAACCAAGCATTATTCCCTGAAACCAATTCAAAAGTACATGTGCCCGGTGGCACCTATGGCTCAGTGTGTAGGGCGCTGGCTCCATATACCAAGGGTGGCGGGTTCAAACCCAGTCTGAGGGCAACTGCAACCAAAAAATAGCCGGGCATTGTGGCAGGTGCCTGTAGTCCCAGGTACTTGGGAGGCTAAGGCAGGAGAATCGCCTAAGGCCAGGAGTTGGAGGTTGCTGTGAGCAGTGTGACACCACGGC